TGATAACTGAATCCTGGCTTAATGGGGACTCACGAGATTCAACAATTCTTGCCGACATAAGCAACACATTACCTGACCGTCAAACTATACATCAACCAAGATCATCTCGTGGTGGTGGGGTCTGTGTAATTGCTAAGAAGGGATACCGCATTAATAATTGTGCCTCGCACACATTTAAATCGTTTGAACACTTGCATCTTCAAGTTTCCTCTGGTTCTTCCKACATCCGACTAGTTGCTATATACCGACCTCCWCCGTCCAAAAAGAATAAATTATCTGCGCCTCTCTTCTTTGACGAGTTCTCAACATTGCTCGAGTCTCTAATAATATCATCTGGCCATCTTATCATTACTGGGGACTTCAATTTCCACGTTGATAATATACAAGAAAAACGCGACGCTTCTGCCTTTATGGAATTACTCTCCTCCTTTGGTCTCCATCAGCATATTGCGGAATCTACCCATAAAAATGGCCACACCCTCGATCTACTTATAACTAAATCTGCCAACCTTGTAGTTAATCMATCACTGTTGCTGTCGTTTGAACTRCCCTCTGACCATGCTCYAGTTGTTGGCCGCATCTCGATCCCTCGACCTGGYCCAACACGATTACTTGTGAATCACCGTAATCTACGCARGATTAACATTGAACATTTCAAAGAATCGATTACTACTTCATCTTTGTTTTCCAATCCTAAGACTGATCTATATCTACAATATGATAACGTTCTTCGTGAACTACTCGACTTACATGCACCACAGCGTAGGCGTTATGTGACCCTCCGTCCTCACGCTCCCTGGTTTGACGACGCACTGCGAGAGGCTAAATTACAAAAGCGGCGACTTGAACGTAAATGGCGGTGCACTGGATTGGAAGTTGACCGTCAACTTTATCGCGATTACTGTGCTACTTATCACCGACTCCTTGTTGATGCTACAACTAACTACCAAAATAACAAACTGAACAACCTTAAATCCATAGAAACGGCACACTTTGCAGTTCTGTCAGTTTCGTATAACTTTGAAAATTATTTTGATCGTTTGAATCATKTWAGATCTTGTGTAAGTYTTTCAAGTTAAACAATCATCAAAACAAATTTTAATAAAGAATTAAAATGCTTCATACACAATATAGATTTTGTACAGAGTTCAGTAAAGCACGTACACGTGCAGTTTTCAAGTCCAAACACATGTCGTCAGCTTAGAAAATGGCATCAATATTTTTCAGATGAAGTTTGATATGTCACGTTTTAGTCCATCGAATAATTATTCTTCTGTCAAAGTATCAACCTTAAATATTCATGCGATTTCTTACTTTTTGAGGATTTTGTGATTGACATCGAGCACTTGTTGTGGCGACGTAGTGTTCTTCGTGTCGGCGGTAGAAAATGCCCAGTCATTTYTGCAYGWATCATYCRAMAACCTTGAATTATATACCTTATTCCATGTCATTTGGATGTTAGTCAGTTGATTTTGTTAGATTTTCAGCTCGTTAGAGTATTTTAGCTACATTTTAGACCTATTTAAAACGAGACAACTTTTTGCCGCCGTCTCAACCGTCTGTCAGCCATTTTGTTTTAAGTGACTTTGGGTCTCCTGTGTTATCAGGCCACGTGACCATTTTAAGTTCGTAAAGCATCATGGGGGACTATACGCGACGTTGATAGATAGATTGATAGATTGAACAGAAGGTAGAACTTAAGTCGAGCCCAGGCCTAAAGGCCTGCGCCCGACTAAAAACCTGTGTGAAAACGACTTCCATTTTTAAGAATTCAGTTGGAATATAAAAAATACAAAACTTACGTTTTTCCCGATTAGGTTTGTTGATTGCTAAATGGGATATATTTCTCAGCATATTTCTTAGGTATAAGTCGAGATTGAAGTGATGGCTAATGAAGAAACTAAACCAGTCGAAGACCAAGCATCGGTGTCGGTAGTCAACGCGCTGTCAATCAGGCAAATCGTGCATAATTTCCTGGACTATACCACAGCACATGGCTGTGGTCGTTGGGCGGCTTCACGTGGAGTGTTTTGGTCATGCTTCTGGGCGATATTAATTCTTGGAGCGCATGCTGCGTTTTATTATCATTCTTGTTTGCTTGTAAGAAATTACTTACAGAAAGCAACAAGGACCAGAATGTCTCACCATAATAAAAAGGTTAGTCTAAAAATGTTAGTCTAAAGCAGCTTTAGGTTTTGAATTTATTGGATCAAAATTGGATAGTGTACATTGTGTTAGTCCTGGAAACACTAGAGATGTGCAACAGGCTCCATGCTCTATGCCATAGAGTTTATCATTTGCTTTTAATTATCTGGACAACGACTGTTAATCTTTTTTTATATTCCAGAAACTCGATTTCCCAGTTGTTACCATTTGTAATAGAAACATGTTGCGAAATAGTATGATAGGACCTGATATGAAGAAAAGTAKCGATGAAATCCTAAATATTACGACAGGTCAGTAAATTTTTAACGCTTAAAATCGTTTCTTTTAATTCGCATTGGCACGTGTTCAAGGGATTTTTAAAAGAACTTTTCAAACCTGAAGTATATTGCCTATTGAGATCCTAGAGTGGTTGTTGAACCAACAAAACCATGCATTAACCCCTTTTAACAATTTAAGAACCTCTTGAAGACAACGAACATGTATTTATTTTGAAAATAAATCTTCTGCATGTGTCACTTCGCAAAAAATACATGTAGTGCCAATTTTCCGTCTAAAAAAATATCCCTTCGTTTCCCAAATCAGCCCCACATCCTAAAAAGTTTAATAGTTGCAGGTGCGTGTGCAAGATTTGAATCATTTTCTTATAATCTTGCTGTTTGTTATGAGTGAATCCAAACCAAAACTCATGCAGTTTGGCAGTCAATCACCTTCCTCACGTATGTCTTGACATTGCAAGACAAGTTGGAATACCCCCCTGAAACCAATCCACATGTTCCTGGTCTCATTTATTGTGTTATGGACCAAGCTTTAAATTATGCCTGTATTTTGAAATATATAAGAATAAAGGGATTTTAATATGGAATTATTATCTGTATACTATTCTTATATTGGGTTAGAGCAAAAGCCCCAAGACACACATCTGAAAACATCAAGATCCTATCTACGAACTGAAGACAAGCACCCTGACGAAGCAAAAGAAGATTCATTTAAAGCTATGTGCAGTAAGTACCCAAAGAAAGACTTGGTCGAAATGGGTCATCAGCTTAAGGACATGTTACTGGATTGCTCGTTTGGAGGACAAAGCTGCAGGTAACCGCACTACGTAATTATGGATAATAAAAATGTCCAACCTTTGTCTAAAAGCAAGGGATGGCAGAGTGGTTCGGGCAACGCTGTGGTCAAACTTTTTAACATCAATCTCAAACGCAGATTTCTTTGCTTTCAAGTCATCGTACTCCGCACTCATAAAGTTGACAGAGTCTTGCAACTCATTGTTACTAGGATGTGTTTCAATTTTCTTCTTAACTTCATTTAATTCGTTATGAAGTTCCTCCAGTTGAGATTTTAAGTAAAGTTATCGTTTTCTTCTCTTAGCTTTTTAATTTTTGAACTATCACCTCTAGTCATGATTTTTGGAGTTTTTACGGAGAGCAGAGAAATCGTGGMCGCTCGTCACGATTCCTGCCCCTTAATTCAGCATTCCAGCTGCAAGTAAGAGTGGTTAGCTTTTCCACATTCATGGTGATTGATGGCGTCCGATTCTTTAGAAATTATGGATGAACCCTATAACTCATGTGTTCAATATCTCTGTTTCATTGTGGTCGAATAGGAACATAAATGACGCTAGGACTTGGAGACATGTCTGGATTGAAGATGTGGGGAATTGCTTCATGTTTAATCGAGCTCTGGATGAAAAGGGGGAAACGACTCGACCACATAAGCAACTTTTCCAAGGGCGGGATAATGGTAAGTAAAACCTCTCCTCTCCTGCTAAAGAGGGTTTGCAAGGAGGATTTGCAGAAGGTTTTCACAAGGATTAGACTGGTAAACTCTAACAACGTCGATCAATTTTCAATGCAAAGCGTTTTTACGATAATTTTAATCAAAACTCAAAAAACACACACACAAAAAAAAGTAAAGCAAAAAAAAAAAAGAATAAATAAATAAATAGATAAATAAGAAAACTAAAAAAAATTAGTTCCATCGATCATTTCTCAGCCAAAAGAAAGTTCATATTYCATTTTGTCATTCTAAACTATAGACTGCGTGGCGGCTCTAGGGGAGGGGGAA